GCTGACAGGTTAAATCGACGTTTGTGCTCACCTTGTCGTGTCTTTTCACTACTCCATCTTTCCTCCTCTGGTACCACAGCTGTTTATAATAGGTGCGTTTGACTTACTGCAGACGCATGGAGCCACGTCAGAAAAAGAAACTGGCCTATCTCAAATGCATGTACATGTTTTGCAGGAATGTTCTGCAGAGGGCCTACCTAGGGTTTCATCTGTACTTAAATCCAGACCTTGCACTTAACTGAAGAAATCACATAACTCTCTTCCCCACTGGCAACGCTGACTCGTAAAGATGCAATAAATCATACAGACCAATCCCAGTTCAACCGATGATGTGGGTTTTGATTATGTAAAGTACTGATAATTTACGCGCTTTCCTAAAATAACGCGCTTTCGGAATGATTCTGGGCAAAAAGAACCAAAATGTCATGTCTCAACGTCGTGATATTTGATGTAAACAAACCTGATATTTGCCGTGCACGAAATGGCAAAACGGTTTTAGCAACAGAACGTCATCTGCTGAATACTCTTGGTAAGAGGTGAGCGGTGTTTGATTGACTGCCATACATTCCACTTGCTACCAGCTTGATGTTTGGAGCAATTTATCACAAACTGAAGTCACAAGACCAATTAGTACATGCACCCACACAATGTGCGCCGCTTTGGGGTGTATAACTAAATGTGGTCGAAATGCAGATCAATAAGTCGACTGCTTCCGAAATTTAATATTTCATTTTTAACGGACATTGTTTCGAAACTCAAGTTCATTCATTGTCCATGCATGTTGTTCTAACGAACAAATTTACTAGTCACATTTCCGTTTTTGTGCTCACCAATACCATTACCTTGTTATAATCCTATGTTTGGTGTTTTTTCACCATCTGGTCTGAAAATTGGTGCCATTAAGGTGAACTTCTAAGTGTATATGATTCTCATGTGCCTTTCCACGCTTTTTCAAATTCGGATGTTTATTTGCGAAATACAAGTTAAACACTAGTTTAGCTTCTTCATAGGGAACAAACTTCCCCGACGCACATTAAGCACACCAGCAAACCAGGGTTTCGAACATTTAGAAGCAGCTTAGGTGTGTTCACATGATTTCAAAAAAACGATTTTCTCCAAAAGTGCTTTTCTTTCTGTATTCGTGGAACTCCAAATGGCGTCTGAGTCACCGTTTAACTGCCTAAATCTGCATTTCGCCTGCCAGTTCTACAAGCCGCTTTTAATCCGTTGCTTTGTTAGCTCACGTTAAACTACTTCAGTTTTGTGATCATCCGCTGCAAATCTACTTTAACGAACTGAAAATTTATGCAACTAGGTAGGTAAAAGGGGCTGACTTTGGTGTAAAGCATTGTGAGCAACATTAACTTCTTACCCCTCGTAGCATTATATTAGAGCGCCTATTTCCATGACAATCGGACTTCGTGGAGATGCTAGTGGGCCACATCAGACTTAGATATACCTAGAGGGCTAATTGTGGGTCGCCACGACTTATGCACATCAGTGCATGCGAAACCGTCCAGATGGAACTACTATGAACTTATATTGTAGCGGCATTGTCGACATTGATACATGCAAAACGCCTTCCTGTGCTCCAGTTATTCTTGGTAAGTTGGCGTCATCACTCCCTGGCAGTTTTAAACTCCCAATTAATCGTAGTCAATATATCAACTTGGCACTGACGTGCTGGTCTGCTGAGGCAAAACTCAGCACACAGCACATGCAGGTAGAAGAGAAAGGCTAGAATCGAGATCGGACCTCTCTAATCTCTAACCTCTGTCAGACACTTACCCTTCCTTCTTGCCACGAAGTTCATTACTAAAGTAAGCCGTCATGTGTTTCAGCAGCAAAATTAGGTCGCACCCTTAATTCCCTGTAAAACTGATGGAGGCAGATTAATAACTTCTATGACCCGGTCCAGTCGCATCGCACATTGTTGTGATCATGCTGATATATGGACGTGTAATGAATCATGTTGAGGTGGGACCAATTTTAAGTGGTCAGTTATTAAATATCTCAAAATACTTAATGTATAAACGCTTGTTTGTATGTTATACGGGATCAAGTATTGAATGCAATAAACTCCCTGGTGTGTGCTAAGGGCCATATCAATCGCGTAGAAGAAAAGCATTCACCGTTTCGATGGTATAAGTGGACCTAATCCATTGGGTCATCGACTTGGCTGTTAGTGCTAAATCTACGTACCTATGTACCAACGATCACCTAACCCGGATACTGGTGTAATTTGAAGTTGACGAAGTGGTCACTTCCTGAAGAAACAACATAATGTCACAGAGCCTCCGAGAATTGCATGGGTCATTTGTGCTACCACAAAATGATACATATAATTTTATTATCCGTTTTTTTAAATCATTTATTATGGGTAGTAGCTTCTCATTTCTTGCCTCCTTTAATATTGTTTCTAACGATTTGAAGCACTTTAAAATTCTATGGGACAGTTGTATTCATGAAATCTGTCTTAGATCGCTTAATATTGATGGCAATGTGTAGTTACTACTGGTAGGTAAATGATATTTTGTCAACTTTATAAATATACCTGAGGGAAATTTAATAACTGTTTTACAGCACAGGTTCATTAAATGATTAGGTATCTGACTGTCCACTGTACTTCCAGTCTTTCCGAACCCTTTCAGGTTTTGTCAAACAAAATATGGATTGAATGTCAGCAATGACAAAGCATGTTCAGAGTTAGGGGAATGGGAACTCTTGTTGGTAACTGACAACTATTTGGATACTTAAGGGAAGAGAATAGTCAATCTCCTCAAAAAGAGGTTTGCATGCTAGTTCTTTTGTTGGAATAATGGTTTGGGAATTAATGTGTTGTGTCAAACTAGCAGATAACCAATTCCCCGGTGGTTTGACTTTCTTGCTACTTTCTTGGAACCACAAACACCTAGGGAAATTAGTAAGCAGCAGATGCATTCCTCTCAAAATTGCTTCCCAAATTGGAATGTGTCCTACAAAAAAGGCCCGGGAATTCTATGTCATGAAATGAATTGTTGTCATATGTCATAACCTTCTTCAGTATACTTTTTTTGAGAAATTCATCAGAATGAATGGGTCAAAATTCAGCAATGTTTTCTGGTGAAAGGCTCGCTCGAACCAAACCAAAAGAACTCCGCCCGAGTATGCTGCACTCCTAATAATTCCCATTCGTTAACATATTTAAATTAATAAATTAGCAAAATCATAGCATTTGCTTGCAATTCATACACTAATTTTGCCTTTGACTGTGCCTTTATAATAAATTGGCATGATAATCGAATCCAACTTCCAAATACGTATTAAAAATGACAAACAAAACTAATAAGTTGGCAGTTATGAATACTTATGCATTTAATTGCTGCAACAAAATCAATTGCTGTGCGAAATTTGAAAACCGCTATCCCTGCCTACTCCGATGTTTGAATTTAAGGCTTTCATTTATTCCAATCCTTAATTGTGGTTTTAAGGTACTGGCGTAAAAATTTACACAATTACTAAAGCAAAATGAATGTGTGGCCTAAATACGCACAACAATTCAAGATCTTGAAATTTTTTGAATATATTTTAAGTGGAATTTGCGCATGTTTTAATGAACTAGAAAGGAACTTAAAATTGAATAAAGCAGTTATGGTTCAGCTTATTCGCATCCCCAAAACGAATGCCTAAGCAGTATGTTAACATTGAATCAGGACTGATGAAAAATGAACTATATGCGTCAACATTGATGATCCTACTTCAACGAATGTAGTGCAAAAGTTGAAACCTTTATAAGGTGGCCTGTTAATTGGTTTTCTCTCCCATTCAAGTTATCGCCGAGAAGTAGGTGTTACCAAGACCAAATGGAAAAGGTGGGGATTCACCATTTTATGTGCACATTAGTATAACTATTATTTAGGAAAAATTGCTAACAAATGCACACTCAATCTTATTTCCTAAACGTTTTGGATCTGGTTATTTTGTTGTTATTGAATTCAGTTGGAAATATGGAAAATTTCACTTAAAGTCACATTTTAAATGAAGAATTGTTGTAAAACATTGGCAGCACGAGCAAACTCTACCCACATCAAATTACGGGAAAGCAAAACTTATTCCGCGTAGAGATTTGCAGCGCTGTCTGAAAAACGTTAGTGACCTTATTGTGTAGTAACTCTTGATTGGTTAATGCCACATCACACGGACTGCATTTTATTGGGTATCACCATGTGCGTGTTTCATGACTGGTGGGTTTAGGCCACCTTTCCTTTGCTCGTTCAACTTCCATACCAAGAGTGGCTAATTTCCGAATGGATAGGAAATGAGTGACTCACAAGCCATGGCACCTTCACAGGTGCTTAGCATCAAAGTTCCGGAGGACCTCACAAAAAGTTCCCATCTTAGTTCCAGTGTTGAACGTCTTGTGGAAGTGACTAGACGTTTGACGGTGTTTAATCAACTCGAATCGGCCTTAGATGATCGAAGCAAAGGAGTTGATGTCGTAGAGGATGAACGTGAACTTGTCTCCAAGTCAGACGTGCCTACGGAGGAAGAAGGGATGGAATCATATCCCAAAACGCTACATCTCTCGGAAACAGCCTCAGCAACTGACTTATCTAGCCCAGATAACAGCTCGCGAAGGTCTCCAAACAGTAGCACCAAAAAATGGGCTCGATTGCTTGGTATTTCGCCTGAGGATATAGGCGATGAGGATGAATTCATTGTAAGTTTCTATGACTAGTTTAAAGCTGAACTTAGTAAATTTATTGTGTCTGAAAATCAAATTTTCTTATTTATTTTCAAAGATCGTGATGCGGAACAAGATATAAAAATTAGTTGGCGAGATGGTTAGGAGTCAAATAATATTTCAATGGCGCTGTAACTTGCCAGGGATAACAACATTGCTCACTTTTGTAATTTTAGGTGTGATCACTCAAGTATCCAAAAAGCGTTTGCATTTTTTCGGCCCACTAAAAAAAATTAAAAAAAGTGTTTTGTCCAAACTCAGAAGGTCAAATATAAAAATCATTTTGCAAAGTCTGTTTAAGACCGTCAATATTCTTACGAAAGTCTGGAATAGTTTTGAGATCAGCAGGGGCATTTACCCAAAACAAACATTTTTCGGTATAAAGTACTTTGTGTTTAGTTTTACAATATTTTGAAAGCAAAACTGCAAGCTACTACCCAAGTACGAAGAGAAGGGTCCCTGTATTATGCTACGCAAACGATGCATAAAATAAGACGAAAGTGTAAAATAGAAAAATGCAAAATTTTGAAATATTAGAGGCAAATGATAAATATGCTTAGAATTGAGGTTAATTTTCCATTTTCCTGACTTTGTGGATAAGGTATTTAAATATTATCTTGTCTCCTATTTATTGAAGACATTGAAAATTATCTGTTACCTTCTACGAGTTCTTGTAAATGCTGTAACTTAATAATAACTCACACCTTCGAATTGCTGCTTGGCACCCGAGTAAACTGCTGAAAGAATCACTATTAACTAAATATTTATTGTCAACATTTGTAGTGTACCAAACTATAACAAAACATGTTCCCAGCATTGGCTGCGTTTTCACATACAAAAGGAGCTTTTAAAAACACATGGTTTTGGATTAGCCTAGACCTGTTACATAAGAAACAGGCGGGATTGTATCAGGGCCAGGCATGTGGGTAAAAATCAGAGGTTTCTTAGCAAGGACATATCTCGCATATTGCCATTGATAGAGTTTTGCTCAATTGTGAACTGATGTAAAATTTATTTAGCAGATACAGCCTCTCATTCTGTTTGGACAAGTTATACATTCACCTCTTTTTCTGGTGATGAAATGAGGCGGTCTTGCTGAAAGTGACTGTGTTATTTATATGTGAACATGCACACTAACACCGAATACACGAAACACACATTTAATGGAACAACTTATCGATCACGTTGTACTTCCCCAAAATTAACCATCTGTCTGTCAAATACAATCCTATCTTAAATGACAATTCAATTGGTTTTGCATAAATAAAAATTGCCGTCCAAATATTTTGCAACTGACAAATCACGTAAACAATTTTAGCCCCCAAATTAATATTTGCGAATCTTGCCTCATCTAATTTTTTGGAGACTTATTACCACTTTCGTGAATAAGAATGTTTAACATAATCAATTTTATAAGTTACATCTTGGATAATTGTATCTGCTTTTTAGTCAATCGTCGTAAGATCTAACAATTAATTAATTGAAAACAAGAGTTAACTTTGTTCGAAATTTCCATTCTAACAATAAAATGAACCAGAGATTCAAGCAGATTTCTGCATATACCTCTAGTTAAGAATTCTCAAATTCCTTGTATTTGCAAAGTTTCTCAGAAACTCATGCTTAACACTCTCCTAGACCACCATACACAAGCTCTAAATGTCTCACTTTCAAGGATTAATTTAAATGCCAATGCATTAATAACCATAGTAATTTGCCAAAACACCAAATACAGCTTGTAGCCTACGTTGTTTCCTCCCCATAATTAATAAGGGTACAACTTAAACGCTACTTAGTGCCGGAATCTTTTATGATGTTGGAACGCCCTTGATATATTCACTTCCTTGGCCCAATCAACTTAAATCCACTGAACTGTTTGCAGGACATGTGATTCAAAATTATTGGTTCAAACGCTTCCAAGAATGTCATCTTGTAGATAAAAAACCCTTACATCGTTGCCCGTCTGAAAAATGCGTGCAATTTTTGCCCTACTTGGAGTGTGTATAACCATTTTGGAGCGATGTGAAGTGTGCGGTCCACAACAACAGTTATGACAAGAAGCAATGTTTTCTAAATATTTCCGCATCTTTTGTACAGATTTCTATTAGTGTGCTATTTTTATCATAAGACCAGCATAACATAAAGTTATGTAAATATCTACAACAACAGAATTCTACCTTTCAATGTCAATATAACTTTGCACACAAGGCATTCCCAACCTGCATATAGTTATGCAAATGTGTGTGGTGCTCATAATGATGGGCGTACTTTAGGTTGAGCGTCTGAAATGAACTTTGGCGTAAAAAAATATAGGCCCCCATTGTAAAACATTTTTTTAAAACTTTATTGGCTGACTTTTGTTAATTGGATAAGGTTGTCATACATATATTAGTGATATTATTACAATTTGACATATGTAATGCGTTGCTATGATTTTCCCAAAATTTTAAAGGAATTAAAACTACGAATTTGCACATGCCTATTTGACATACAATAGTAAATTCACGCTCACCTTTTCCCTAGGTGAAAGTGCTTGACTTTTAATATCTAGACAACCCTTGACAGGAATATTAAGCTGCCTGATATAATGAAGTCATCCAGTATTTTTTAAAGATTTAATTAGTCAGTATAAACTGAACGTTCACAGTTTAGCTAAAGTAGATTCACTAAATGAGAACCTCGTACCTCTCGCAGGACCAAGTGAACATATTGAAAGGGGAATCTGCCCTTAACAATATCACAGTGGTCGGGGGAAAGTATAACGTCGTGAGCCTGTTTGGGTAGAAATTGACACCATTACTATCCAAACAACATGCAAGAAAGACTTCAAGAATTTATCATACAATATGTAAATCACTCATACACATTCTTCATTTGAACATTAATTAACACATAGAGATTCCAGTGAATAGATGTAATCTGACTTAAACGAAAAGAAATATGAATATTTTGGCAGGATTTTGAAATGAAAATTCTAGCGTGAAGCTCAACTTACCATGGTCAATACATACCAATCGTACTACCGGATTTGCCATAGAAATCTTCTTGTGGTCTTTGATGTTTTAACCCGCCATGACTCATCCCGCCATGTCATCCGTTGTATTCCTCTGTAAGCGTCAAGTCATTTTTCTGGAGTAATTTACAAGAGAACATGAGTTATAATATTTTGAATTACAAACTCCTTGGGTAAATAGTGCCTTCACGTCACTACCAAAAATAGTAAAAGCCCCTCTACGCGGAAAAATACAGCGTTGTTAGTGTGTAGTTACACCTGGCTATTTTATTTTTGAAGTTCTCCTAAAATGTCTTGCAGCCAGTTTTGTCAATTTGTAAGGTAGAGTAAGTGTAAAATACCTTGTCATTATCATCTGACATTTGCTTCTGTGGGAGATGTAAAGCCCACTATGGCTTTACAATTACGATGCCCGCAGTATCAGCTTTGAATAGCATGTCAATCATTACCAGTTATTCCAACATCAGATTACAGAAATCTTCCCATTTAGGCATTATTTTGAAGTAATGTTTTGTACTTTTTTGCATGATTGTAATTTTATTCGGATTGAAGGGTTTTGGCCACAAATACCAAATAAAATAGCCACATTGTTGGGATCTTTCCTAACTTTTAAGCATTTAGCTGCGACCTTTATGGCAAATGAATAAGCCCAGCTAATACAGCCTTAAGTCATAAAAGATTAGTTGTAAACCTTTATCGTTAAAAAAGTGGCATCTGTGTCTACGTTACCACGATAGGTTTTAACCAAATAGCCTTAACTGTCACGTTCTCTAAAAGAACTCATTTCACTATTTTGTAAGTTAAATGAAAGGAGAAAATAAACTTAACCCGAAGCAATTTTTTTTATTTTAGAAGGTGAATTGCTTATTTGAAACAATCAAGGCTAATGCTAGTGGAGTTCCTATCGGTTTAAGGGATTAAAATATAATTTTGCATAAAATACGATTCCGCAAAACCAAAAAAATGCATTTTGATATGACGCTACGAATTCAAAAGTACCATGTGTTTTGGCACAAATAGTTTCATGCATTTGGGGGTTAGTAGGTGTTGACGAAATAGGAAATAGCGTTTTAATGTAATTTTTCGATTTTATTTTGCCAATTATTGCATCAAAAGTTCCGAACGGCACCGATTTTTAGTCAAGAGGCTAGAATAAGCTTCCATCAGAACCATGCCAGCGATAACAACAGCCTGCTGTTATTTCAACTTCAAAGGCTTTTTAATTAAGCACTCAAAGGATTGTCTTTATTATTCTATCACCAATTAATTGTTAGTAGTTGTTAAACAAATTCTCATTCTTAATTTCTCTAAAATTTGAACATTTTACTTTTCGGATATTGTGTTCGACGTCCTAGCATTTTTCTTCAGCCCACATTAAAAAAAAACAAATTCTTACACAGTCAGACATGCCTGGTATGTTGATGAACCTATCTTGAGTGTTTATGCATTCGAAAGATTATTGAATGTAGTTCTCATAAAAGCTGGGGGCCAGCGAAGTATAGTATGTCCGTTTCAAACATTATTGTTGCATAACCAGACAAATCTTTCTTTAATTCTTTTAATCTATTGCTTTTTTACGACGGATGCACTTACTGATCAGATCTGTGACGAGTAAAAGTAGTAACACACTAATTGCACACTTTGGTGGCTGTGAGTTCCATTTTGAAAGGCCACACTTAACGGGGATACTCGACTTGTGTTTTATATTTCAGAGGGCTGCCACAGCCATTGAGGCTCATCAGCCACCGTCTCTGGCAGACACTGTCCTGGTGGCAGATCAGCGGGCACTTCGACAAAGTTGGAATGCAGCCCTTGACACCACCCACTTTGGCAGCTTAGAATCCATGGAAGGCAGTGGAGGGAGCAGACTACGACGGAGTTCCAGTTGGAAAGATAAAATGTGTGTCTTTACCATTAGGGACAGCTTATTGAAGTTTTGGATTTCAGTCCTGAACATCATAACCTAAATTCAAGCTACCTACAGGTCCCGAAATTCATTTCGACTTTTTGCCAATTTTAGTGAACACCATTCTGAATAATTCTGGGGAATCGTTAAATATAATGCATGAATGCAGGCAGTTTCATTCAAATCGAGGCGACTAAAAACTTCTTATTGTTCTAGGATCAATTAACATTATTTCACATCCGTTTTAGGTCCTTACCCTTTTTCACAAAACGATGCATTCAGGTGAAAAGTATTCAACAAGACGAACTGTCGAAAATGATCGCTTCTGGCAAACCAAGTTATGAGCAAGTTCATAGATGGAGGAAATCCTTTGAAGCCCTTCTAACAGACAAATGTGAGTGCTCTGCAAATTAAAAATATTAATAAAGAAAATCAAAAGAGTTTAAGGTGCCTTGAGCCCTTTCAGGTTTGCGACTGGCCATTGCATTAAAAAATTTTAGATGTATGCTTGAAATGACTTTGTTCTTAGTGGATGCTTAAGGCAGCAGAATCAAAACTTAACTTAAACAGTTCGTTTAGGTTAAAAACGGTTATATATCCGTGTATTTCTGGATATGTCAGATGCAGTAACACACTCACTTAGACGGGTTGGCTTGAAATGATAAAATGTTACCCGTATTCATCACAAAAGGGATGAACACCAACAAATACTTAATGGTTATTATTACTGTTTGCAAAAACATCTAAGGATTCTTACAGCAGCATCAGTTTAAATTCTTGTCCACTTGACTTAATTTACTATTCCGTGATTTACCACTGATTTCTGCCATTACTTTCTCCATTTTCAGAAACGTGAAATTCAAGCAAAGGTACTTGAAACAAAATTGAATTAAGTTCCTTTTAAATTCATTTTTGTACTACATGCAATGCTAGATTAGGAAAAAATAGTGGATAATTGTTTCTAAATGAAACTGGTGGCAAATCCTCAATTCTGGAAAGTTTAGCGTCTGTCTTTAGGAGGAAATCATGTTTAATGGTAATGGTAAGGAATAGCGCTTCTTTGAATTTTTTGTGTGGCGCAACTTATCCCATAAACCGAGAATTGATGCATATTTCATCAAAGTCAATGTCACACACATTCTCCAATGCCCGCCATTGAGTTAGAATACACTGTGTAGATACCTTGAATTAGACCAGAGTACATGAATTTGGTTAGCATTTTGTAGAAAGTAAAATCAGGCTCCTTTAGACAATTTTCATGACATGAAACTCAATTATTATATCCAAATCCGTTCTATAGTAATTGTCAACATTAGCAGTACATTTGCAGTATATGTCGGATAAATGAAATTTGACGATATTGTAGAAAATCCATTATATGTAGAGGCTCAATCTGATGGCGTGTAAAACTTACACTGAATGGTTAGACTTGAACTGCACCATAAAAGCAGTCAATGCACTACTGGAAAAATTTTGAAATCTCAAAGTATTTTTGCTGAATCGAGGAGCACAGCTGAAAATTATCATAATTGGTCAAGATACTGTTAGCATAACGTCACTAATATTTAATATATTGTGAAGTCAAAAAGTGTTTTTAATTATACCTCGTGTTTAAAATTGACTCATTAGGGTCAAGCCGCCTAGAAGGCAGATGGAAGAGGCATGTAGGTATACCACTGCTGAAGCGAAGAAAGGAAGTGTAGGTTGATTTAAAATTTTAACTTAATTCTGAAATAAAATTAACTCATAAGATCTATTTAGCTTATGTAAGTGTGAATGAAAGAACAGAGGCTAACAATCGCACCTCAATGTTACGAAGCAAAATTTTATATGGCAAAAATTTTAAAATAATCAGAGTCATGATATCTCGTTTCAAATAATTTGTTTCAACCATTTAATAAGATTGGCTCTTCATCTGTCGTACATTTGATTTCCAACCTATCTTGAATTTTTCAAACAATTTGCAATTTACAATTTTCAAATTTCCATGAAACCTCGTTTCAAATAATTTGCCTCACTCATTTAATTAGACTTCCTCTTTATTACTTCATCAGTTGGATATTCGATTTTTAATTTAAATCTTTTACTTTCTCACGTCAAGCAGCATTTGTTTATTTCATTTGTAAATGTGAATTTGAATAGTTCTTTCTATTCACCCTGAATGCTTGTATGCATGCAGCACGAAGTAGGTACCTACATTGACGACGATAACTTACCATGTAGTAGTAAAGTACAGCAATTAATTTAGCTGAGGTCTGGCAAATAAAGGCTTGCAACACGAGGATGTCGAATAATCAATCGTTTGCTAGAAATCTGTTTCATTGAAGGATTGTTCGTTCTAGGCACATGAAATATAAAAGCTAACCATAAAATGCTTACCATATGTGAGCTTATCACGCCGTTTGGGTAAATTCATACTTTACACCTGCATTCACCACAAGTCTTATCTTGCAGGCCTGAGGCACACAAGCAAATTAATGTGATTCATACTGTATTTGAGGCTCTTTAGGCTTTACGGCAATTTTGGCCACTACCATTTAAACCACCGTTGTGACGTCGGTTAACATTTGGCAGAATAGAGGGACGATGTCAGTTCTCTGTGGGTGGGCCTGTTGCCGGTTTTCATCACAAAAACATGTTTGCTGTTTGAATAAAAGCATTTACATGGGTCGGTACTTGCGTACTCATAGGGTTGCGTATGTGTAAGTCATGAAGACGTACCATGAATCTTGTTAGTCTCCATAAGTGATAGGATCGTTAGAAAAAACGTCAAAGCGTTTTTTTTTCAGAAATATTAGCAAGGGAAGTAAACGTCCTTAAAGATCAGTCTTCATTTGATTTACCATAAAAATGAGGGCTAGAAGTCTCTTTATGTCAAATACTGAAATTGATGAACAGGTGGTAGTCAACGTCGGCGTATGGAGGTCCTTGAAAACACGGCTATGGCTGTGAGACCGAGATCAGTGGTTAGAAGTCTGATTGCCCAATGGGAAATCGAGTTCGAAAAACACGTGGTACAAGTACATGTGTGGATTGTCTAAACGGGGCAGCAACATTCTTGGCGTACACTTTTGAAGCCAATGACACACATTGTCCAGCAAACGCGTCATATTCGTGTCGACAATACCATAGTGCAAGACCCACCCTTCATTCCATCAAACGAACTATCTAAGAGAGTTTGAGTGCTGCATTCCGAGAAGTTAAATGCGATATGAAATTGCATCCACCCGATTGCCTTCGCACAATTCAAGTGGCATTTAAACACTCGGTTTCAAATCAAATCTATGGTGCTGTATGTAAGCCGCGTCAGGTGTCTGATGGCATTTACTCTTTACTCCAATGTCCATAAAGATTTTCTGAACTTTTGTTTGTTTTGATTTTTTTAATCTGGGTGAAACGTCTGGTGAAACAAACGTGTGCACTCTGTTATTGCGGCCACGTCGAAATCCTTGCACCTTTACTCTCTTTATGAACCCAGATTGGCTTTGTCGCCATCTGCCAGCCTTTTCCCAGCTACCGCTACTGCTAACAATAAGTCATCAATCGTGGGAATGCGAATATGTGTAGAAGTATAAACAAATGTGAATCTATCATGACATAATAAATAAATGAAAAATCCAAATCATTAACAAATCTTAACAATTGGCCCACAGTGTGTAGCTTGTTTGATATCATGACTTGGTACATAGACACTTTGAAAAGGATTAGCGCAAACATCTGAAAAGATCACTGCCTCAGGTATGAGTTTAGGGATAGTTAGTATGGTATAATGTGACCACATTTAGATAACCTTGCTTTAGGTTTTAGGTAAAACACGCCTTTAAAGTTACCCGACTTTTCAAATTTTGAACGGTACAATTTTGCCAAATAAGAAAATCTACTATTTATTGAGTGAAGGGAATATGTTTTAAGTCTATTATTTTCATTCATTTCTTAGATGGACTGGCGCTTTTCAAAGATTTTTTGGCAACTGAATTCAGTGATGAAAACATTGAATTTTGGATTGCGTGCGAAGAATATAAGACCATTACGCAACCAAAAAAGCAGCATGCTAAAGCGCAAAAAATCTACGAGGATTTTATTGCGACCCAAGCACGCAGAGAGGTATGATTAAATGTAGAATTTATAAATGTCATTCATTTTTATAAGAGCTTCGAATCGTATAGTACGGTATAGGTTTACATAATTTATTAAAATAAGCAAACAGGTTCATCAGAGTAACGGCCTAGTCAAAACTGTTAGTTACTCACCAGGAGTCAACTCAACGTCGGAAAAAGTTATTAAGAGGTATATTCACTTTCAAAATATAAGTTTTCTTTCTGCAAAAATGTATTCATTGGTTTTTTAACATTTGATAGTTGCAAATGACTTGTTTCAGTGGAATTGAGAGCGACCTCTGAAGACACCAAGGTATCAAAATTCCCGAGTTCCAATGTGCAGTATGTTTTCTCTAAGCAGATAAAAATTACTGCATTCACTTCAGTTACTGAGCATTTCATTTCATCGTGGCTAATACATCAAACAGATGTTAGGAAGCTAGAAATTGTACATGGTAACCTTGCGCTAGATCTGGGACATGCCTTGTGTCAACATGTCGTTTGCACTAACCAGGACCACCTTGTGGTTCATGGTATGTAGGTAGTTTCAGCTACTTAATTTTATGGGGCACTAAGTAACGGCTCTGAAGCCCGTATATTTGCGAATGTTGTGAGGAAAAGTTCCTAGATTTTTGTTTAAATTGAATTGGGTTTGATATCGCATCCAAACCTTTGTAAGATTTTGATTCAAACTATCTGTATTCATATTCCCATAAACTTAAATTTGCTAATTGTTATGAGTGAAAAGTGGAACAAGAATTTATTTCCGTTACCTTGGTAAACTAAAAAATTTAATTTTTGATATGCTCTATGTACTTCCTGTCATAGAAATGAGTATTTAGGAGTTCAGTTGAATTTAAATTCCGCATATTTTTACCAATGTTGAGGACAGCCAAGAGTATGCAGGTTACACATGACTTTGAAAGAATTTTAAAAACTCACAGTTTGTATTTTGATTTCGTTGACATGGGTTCGGTACTTTTGGTCTAAGATTGGTAATTTACCTAACTGGTAACTTCTGAATTGACAATCGTTCAACTGGTGTCTTTGCTTTGTTAGCTAAATTATTCAGTTAGATAAGAGATAGTAGTTTTACTGCCTTTCATACTTCTGCACTCCTTGATTATTCAGTCCACAAAATACTACAAATCAATGTTTTGACCTATATGACGTTTTGCCAATTTACTAAAACATGAAAACAGATAAATGAAGTCTAAATTGATAATGGACCCGTCCGTTTATACCTTAAAAGGTTAGCAGTAGGCAGTTTTTAAAAATCAAGGATAAAAACATTCTCGGAGTTTAACTTGACATGATTTTCGATAACGATGAGTTCACTTAATATGTACCTGTATCAGCTAACTAACAGATTGATTGTTAATCCCAGAGTACTAATATTCACTGATGATTTACTCTAAGATTAATTTGGACTCCGTCACGCGAGACCAGACTATCTCGGAGCTGAGCTCACCTTCTGCGCACACATTTGAAAATGCACAAAAACGAATTCAAGCCTTGATGGAACGAGACTCCTACGGTAGATTCCTCCGCTCCGACCTCTACCTCACCCTCCTCCAACAGGCCAAGCAAGCAGCTCGAGAACTGGCAGCAGCTGCTCGCGACGGGCACGATGGTGTTCCTTTCTTCTCCGACGGCTCAGCTCGGTTTAAGCTGCCCAACTTCATGGGAGGAGGCTTAGTTTTGGGGGGGAGCGGGAAGGGCGGGGGTGGAGGCGGTGTGGGCACCGACCTTCCTGGGGTTTTGGCAGCAGCTGCTGACGCCGAAGCGGGAATGAACTCAGTTCAAGATCTGGAGCTCCTTGGTCTGTCTACTTCAAGACATATGCGTAATCTGACAACAAACACGGCAACTAAGCATTCAGCGTCTTCCCAGTCCCCATCGCCTGCAAAACCGCCAGTATGAGGAACTAATCGCCTGCATCTACTTCCACAGCACACACGAATTATCACAAAAAAGTACAATGAAGCATCTTCCCTCATTCTTCATTTTTATTACAAGATACAATATTTTGTGGTGTAAATAAACCTAAGATTAGTGAGCGAAATTGCCAACCAATTTACTTTTGCAAATTTTTTTCCCGGCGGTTTGTGATTATTTACACCCTAAAGCCAATTAAGAAATTTCACCAGTGCCCAGTCAGGCAGGTTGTTTATGAAAAAGATATTTTTTTACCCTCCTTAGGTATTTAAGGCAAAATTTAAACATGAAAACAGCACACTAAAATTTGCGGATGAATGTGGACTTCTACATCTCTTGGGCAATTAACGAAATTTTCTTATGTCAAATATATCGGGATGAACATTTGTTATTCACAATACTATTTGAATCCATTTTTCCACTACGCTTCATCAGTCCCTTTGTTTACGCCATAGAAACCAAAACTTAATTTTAGTGTTTCCCATAATCATACTACGTAATCTCGATTTTACTGTTAAATTTTTACAACTGCCCACAAACAAGCAAGTGGCTGCGTTCAACGTTTCTCTCAATTAAAGGCGTTTGACAAGTTTACTTGGGGATATTCTCATAAATAGACAACTGCGGCCACATTTCAAAGAAGGAACTAAATATATGCCCACTATACTTCACTAATTCCAAAACTTCCCGAAATATGACAGTAGTCGTTAGGTTTAATATCAATTACTTCTTCAAGGCAACTTTACTATAAATTGTGTACTCAAAACTCGCAATTATTTGGTGTTTCTTCTTGCATCTCTGAAGGTCACTCAAACCAATATACAGTGCTGTGCGGAATTCACGCTTCGACGGACGTAGAAATGGAGGGTCTTCCCTTTGATAAGTGGAAAAATGTTTTGTATTGCGACAAACTTGTAAACCCTTGAAAGATGAAAGAAAAAAACCTTTCAGAAAGTCTATCACGGTTATCTCACCAGTGGAGACAAATCAAGGATGAATCACCGCCACCAAATTAGGACAAAGCCTCGTGCAGAGAGCTCTTTACCGAATCACCCAGGGGCCGCGTTCACGTTCAGATGTGTCCACATATGTATGTACGGCCTTGAGTGGAATATATATTAATAATACGCTCAAAATTAATGGGTCGATGGGAAAGGGATGACTGCAGCGTGCCAAGGAAGGATCCTAGGATGTTGAATGCCTAGTCGCATTTCTTTAGGGAATGAATATTTACATTAATATTTACCTTTTTAGAGTTTAAGGTAATCGTCATGTTATTTCTGTCTTCTGCAGATATTCCATCTATTTTACGTGCACTTTTAGGACTCCTTTTTCTTGCATTATACAATAAAATATCATCCATCTTAAAAACTATCCAGGGAGTTAATTAAAGGTATAATTATTACGAAATTTAGATGTTGGCCGTTTGTCAAAAAATCAACTAAAAGTTACAAAGTGTGTTATTTCGCTAAGTTAAGAATTTAACAATGTATCACGTTTAGTAAGGGTTTAGTTTTTTAACTATATCTTCACCGTTTTTATTTACAAGAAAAGTTAATGTCACTTAGAAAAACCAGTCAGTGCTAAACGTTTTAAAAATAATCAATATTTAAATAATTCGTTTATTGTCTACGTACTCTGGTTGATTAAAACTTGTCCTATTGTACCACAGTTAAACTTTTTGATTTCTTCAATTACCCAAAATTACTCGTCTGTTTGAACAATGGGCATATAAAAAGGTATAAAAGTCTACTCTTCTGTCAAAATCCGAGGTACTTTTGCAAGACTACCTGGTCTTCCCTTTCTAATCACGTTGTAGAAACACCTGCAACAGTGCACCATGTTTAGATTCTTTTCCTTTTTTAGATGCTAGTTAACAAGCACATTCGCAGCTATACCAAATTTTTGTTTTTTTTTGTAAACTTGTTACCTTGTCGAATCCTTCCGTGTTAAGTATTAGTAATAATGCTTGTTCTATCGGTAATCTTTCAAAATACTTAAAAATAAAAAAAACCTGAAATGTTTCTGTTTCTTTCGAGTAGGTGCCACCCTTAAGTAGTCCAAATTATGAAGCCGATTTTAAGAGAAATAGATCGATCTGTTTTAATTTTAGTGAATAAATCCAAACTTCAATTCAACGGTAAGTTAATGAGAAATCTATCAGCTGCTTGGCTGCGTTGCGTACCACTAAATACTTCAATAACCCCTTTTCCTACACTATAAACAATCAGCTGGAAGCATAAATGTATAGCACACAAAAAGAAACCAAGTTTACTTATTTACCATTAAAACTTAAGATTTCTAAGTAAATTAACGATAACTGACCTGATGTTAGAATGGTATATTTACATTCTTAAATTCCACCGAGCAAGGTAGTAACTGTATAATTAGATACATTTGATTAAATACTATTCCCTGGAGAGCTATTTCTAGCAGGACATATCGGAGACCGTAAATTGGTCTGAATGCGCCAAGGTCACTTTTATGACTGCTTACCTAAAGAAAACGGACTTTCATAAATCTACCGCTTAAGTTATATAAATAGCATTCCTTCATCCTGATCTATAATTGGTATGTAGAAATATTTTCTGAAATTTGTAGTAAAAAATAAATGCAACATATTGAGACGCAAATGCATAATTCCAGAGCTAATCGCATTGTTAACTAGAGTGGGTTTCCTAATTTGGGAATAACTAATAAGAATGCTGTATTTTCCTGTGTAAATAAGCATTTGATAAACACACCTCCTTTTTATTTTTCTACAGTTTGTAACGTCTTAGCTTTAAAAGTTTTCAAATTTGATCCGATTCCAACGTCGGTTAACTCTTCATAAGAAAACAGTTGCCAATTTAGCTTCATGCTATAGTAACATTTCGTTACAATTAACACACTAATTAGAACGACAGTGATGTAAGGAGCCCTTTATACTACTTGGAAACTATTTTTCATCGAATTGGTTATGCACATATTCTTTTTGGCTAATCCCTGGTTTAATATGTTAAAGTAGACTTAATTTAATAAGCACACATTAAAGTGTTCAAAACTGTCGTGCTTGTGATAACATAAATTTTTTACGAATTCATATGCGACTAAGTGAACGACCTTTTGTTTGCTCTCTTTTCATTAGGCACAAATTCCTCTAACATTATTTTAACAAAGTTTACTTAGGAATTAAATTAAAGTAAAAAGCACCAAATTATAAGTCGTTAAGGCCATTTCCACTGAAAAAAAAACTGTCCTCAACTCCTTGAAACGGGTGCTAAATATTCAAAAAATTATAAAGACCAGTGTTGTATTTAGCTTGAATTTAACGCTTCGGCAAATTTTTTCCAAAACCAAAGTACGCCACGCTCAGGAACAGATGCTAAAATTTAAAGACATTTTAAAAAAGCATGCCAAATAAAATAACCTGAAGGCTTCACGATATCTATTTTTAATTGAAAGGACTTTGACTATTTGCATTACTTTTTCCAATTTTTTCACTTTAATTTTTTTAAAATTTCATCATAAAACTTTACACACCATCAACATCGATTTTGGTGCTATACTTTCCACAGTCGACTTTAATCAATATATACCCTGTCAAACCTTTTTTATACCTTTATCGAGGTAGCACGTAAAACAAAAGAAATTAAAAAACCGGCCTAGCGCTTGTATGTTTCAGAAAAAATGCAGGTTCTGCACATTAAGATATACTTAAAATTGGCAAAAAATCAAATCTAAAAGTAAGTGTCAAATCAGTTAGTCAATAAAGGACGATATATATTGTACTTCGAAGCCGATAAATTTAAGAAAAGACTAATTTCTTGTTAAATTTTTATTACACAAATAGGAAGTTGGAAGTATTAACTGATAAATATACAGGTCGTTTTTAAAGAACCTGAATAACTTCTTATGTATTATTTACAGCTTTTATTTTTCAAAATTTACTAAAATTTTCCAACGCATCAAATTACATATTTTGGTTTATTGAAATTTAATTTCAGATTGCTGATCCCTTTCCTAATATGTCTAATTGGCTGTTTTGTTTTAGTAAACATCTTCAGCTACTGGGATTCTCAAATACACTTTTGTCTTTAGCCTTCCGTAGTCGTTAAGCGTACTGGTGGCGGGTGCAGTTATTCACCAAGAGGCTTTGAGCACTGCCTTTTCTGGGAAAGTGCAAAAATTATAAATTTTTAAAAACCAGAAAATACCAACGTAACCTTCTCGAATTAGGAATCTTATTATTTGTTTCTATAATCCCTTATCTATTTCCGATTTTACTAAAAGCTTATCAGAAGCAAAATTTGCGCTCAAATATTAAAGATATCGCACTCCACTACACGGAATTCAGAAGCCCAGCAATACTTAAACGAAGCGTGTTCCGTATATTATGCCAAGTGAACACATGGCAAATAATGGATACCCAAATTATTTCTCAAATGCCTTTTTTTGCTACAACTAGCCTAAGTCCCTGTCGAAAAGTAAATAATTTAAAGGAAACTGGCTTTGGGGGTTTTGAAAATAGAACAGCGACATTCGATTGATTCCGCTTGTTTTTATGCAATGTCTTTGCTATTAGTTCTCGCCAGGTTGTCTTAACTAGGCGCTTTTGGGATGTTGCACACAATTTGATTTTCTTTTTTGTAAATAGATATCAAAACTTTCAAAAGCTTTTGGAAATGAATTTTTATGACTCTTTTTTGGAGGTATCTACGTTAACGAGATTTTTTTCATTTCCTTTTTATTGTGTCAACATTACTTAATCTAAATTGTTGGAATTTCTTTCCAGCGCTTTATAAATCAAAGTGATTTGATCCACCTTACCAAGTAGCATTTAACTTCTTAACCACCAAACTACTAACTTTAAGGAAATGGCGGTAGGTTACTTCGAGTTATTGCACTTTTCTGTGACATAATCAATCTAGAAATTGCGCATAAAAATTCACAATTAAAGAATAAGAAATTTTCCATATAAATAATAATTACGTCATGAACTATCGGATATAACCTAACGTAAGTGCAACATTTCTCTAAAATGACACTAAATTTATAAACAATATTCCTATATCCCTTATAACATCAAAAGAAATGTTATTCGTTGCAGACGCTGCTAAGGCCCTCAACCAAGCCGGATCCCACGTTAAACCGTAAGATCATTTTCTCGAATACATGGCTTGGGTCCATAAACATTATGATAAATGATATTTTGTTGGTTCATATCTTAGCTCAGAAATCGTTGTTATTCATGTTAGCTCAGTTCACAGGAAACTGATTGCTGTGCTTTAATGTGCCGGGTGTATGTATAGTATTTTCAACTTGGGACAGTACTTAGGTGGAAAAGTTGCGAGACTCCTTTGCTACCAAAGAAAGTCTGCATTATTATAATTTAAGAAAGTTACGATTTCAAGACAAGTCAACTTAGTCTCGAAAATTTCTTTATGGTGGCTTTAGACTCGAATGTAGCTGCATTTGACGTGGCTCTTGAGTAGAGAAGATGAAGTCTTTGTGATTGAGAATCGTCAAGAATCAGACTTCCTACCAGGAGAAGTTGACATCTGCTTCCTTTTAAAACTGAGTCCACATTTGTTAAACATTTTCTCGAATGGTTTCCAACGTCATGATGACCTTGGTTATACTGAATTCATACGTTGCTAAATTTATAGAACGTAATGGTTCTAAAAACGTTTTATGACTCACTGCAAAAGTTTTTTTCAGTGAAAGAAAGGTTGAGGAACATAAGTGAGAAAATGAAGAATGACTGCAGTGCCTATTGGCAGTTGAGTTCATATGCCAGACCAGGCGTTAATTTGATTGACTTGTTAAAGTTCTTAACCAAACGGATAAAAATTTTAAAAGCCCTTGCAAACTCATGTTCTTAAATACAGTCACTCCCAATGCTATTCATCGACTGTGGGCAATTAAAATTTATCTTTATTTTTCTATTGCTTGAAAAACAGACGAATAGAGTCATTATACCTAAGATGAATAGGTGAGATATTATTTCTTCCAAAAATGTGCTGAAATTTTAAATGTGCATCACGCATAACTTTGCCATCGAATACATTTCTATAACACATTTTTAATAGTAGGTTTTAAGAAGTCATATACAATTTTTTTCACGAATATAACTGAAGCTTAGAGCAGTGGTCGTACAAGGCCCTCGAACTATTTTCATCTTCGATACCCTTAGGACACCCTCATGATTTTCAATTATAACGCCACACTTTTGAACCAATTCAAAATTTGATAACTGATCATTTATTTTGTATGCTTGTGGACTAAGTATGGTAATTAATGAGACGTTCACTCTCTGTCTTGACTAAGCGAATTACTTTTGCATTTTTTGCCTCAGCCGCTGGCTCGGTTAGCCTGCAGTTTACGTAATACCCACCAGGTTGAAGGTCAGGTGTTAGAGCCGCATGGAGAACAGCTTGGCCAGCTTCCCAATGAGTTTTAAAGAAGGCTCCAAAAAGAGATGGAATGAACATCTGAAAATTAAAGACAAGTGGAATGAGTTTGAGCATGACCAACAGCTCTGATATACTACAACTTCAAAAGCTTATTATTTGATTGCCTGTCGAAACTTAATTACAAATGGATTGGATATTATTTGAAACTTATGCTTGTTGGTATTTATTTCTTCAAAGGTATCCTCATATACCTTAACATTTCCTTTAAGATTATCCGCATGAAGTCACTGACACTATTCCGATCATTAAGAATTTCTCTGGTATTGAGTTAGGCTCCCATAATGCTATCATGAAGCGCCTATTTTTCAGACTTTTCATATAGCCAAGAAATAATTAAAACAACGTTTGTTAAAAACCCAGCTTTTGTCTTCCTCAGAAGAAGCGAATGAGACTAGGGACATTGTCTAGTGAGTAATGTAACATTTGTCTAAACTTAGTCCACGAACCCGATGAAATATACAGGCAAAAGTTATAAATTAAATTCAATTGACTTGGAAAATTTAATTTAAATAAACCGAAACTTACGCCAAAGTTAGGGACCACATAGCCTGGGTGAATACTAACAGGTATCACAGACGTTCCTTTAAACCTTTCCGCCAATATGATTCCGTGGATAACATTGGCTAACTTTACTTGTGCGAGGGCTTTAACCGAATTGAATTTATCACGTTCGATAAAGAACCCACGATTGATGAACTGAAACATAACAATATTTTACTTAATACTCTGATAGAAGCATATAATTTCAAAATTAATAACCTACCGAACCACCTGTGTGTTCAGCTGATGAAATAATGATGATTTTCGCCCCTGGCCTGGTTCTCAAAAGCAGTGGACGAAGGAGCTCTGTAAGATAATAGTGAGCTAAGTGGCCAACACCCATGGTCGACTCAAAGTTATCGACTGTGGTGCGATAAGGACCGTGGCTGACTGCAGCGTTATTGATTAGAAAATCCAGCCTATCTGTCGCTTGCATAATATCTTTTGCGAACTGTGATACCGATTCAAGGGCGTTGAGATATACAGGCATGTATTTCAACTAAAAAGATCAAAAAATAACAAACTTAAACTTGTACATCATTCACAAATACACTAGTTTTCAAAACATTAGTCTATAAATCAGTTTCATAGTTGCACGTAGAGAAGCACTAATTTCTCCACCTGATAAGTAAAATGCAGACAATTTTTTTCTCGGTAAATTTAGGTTCACCACTATTTGTTCCGCAATGAGAGTTCAATTATTTGCAATATGCACTTTATTCTTGCAAGCTTTTACTCAAGGTTTCGTCGTTCTTTTCAAAAAAAACTAATCAAAGAAGTTGCTGTGAGCTTTTATCTTAAAACCGACTATGAAGTAACAAGTGCGATAAAATTCTTTCTAGCCAACAAAATACCGAAATAATTTGTAATTTACAAATGCTGATTCTGCATCAACCAGCTGATTTTTTTCCTGATGCAATAATTTCAATTCGAAAGTATGAAAGGTAATTAGTTGAGCTGCGTTGTCATTAAATAAAGTGAATTTACAGAACAATAACCATTCGCTATTAGTAGGATGGATTTAATCCTTCATGATCATGCAGGCAAACTTTACAAAGTTTGATTCTAACACGTAAGTTTTAGTGTCAATTTCCTGAATAATAACTCATTTACTTACATTATTCAGTGGTATAAAAGCAGAATTAGACACATTGAATTGAGTCATCAACGTTGTTTTAGAGCGGAGCGTTTGTGATATAAACATTCTTGTTGGCACTTTACACTTCTGGTTAACTAAAGGTAACTAAATCGCGGAAAACAATAAAATGACCTTATCACCCCTTTTCACAGTTATCTCGCAGCATTTTGAGAAACTTTTCTCACATAATAAGGCAAAATCAGATACGAACCTACTACTTTTGACATGAGTTTCAATTGTTTTAAGGGTTTTTAGTGCTAATGTGGCCTTCTCAGAACGAAGCGCTTTGTCTACGACAGCCTGGCTGTTTCTATCAAAGACTGTAAAAATGAATAATATTTCAGCAACTTGCAAATTGTCTGGGCGAATCTGACAAATACAAAATTTATAATTCCACTTACTTGGGAATCCTTGATTGGAGTCAAATACTTCGACACATTTTCGTCAGCAAAGTCCGAATTTACGTTTTCCCCATTTGGTCCGTACTTGCGCATTATGTTATAGCGAAGGGTATCGAAGTGGTTTTGGCTTTGGCAACCAATCAATACTGTCGCGCCACGGCGAGCCAACTCAGAAATAATTTCAGGGCCCATAAAAGAGGGTCCGTCTGTCACCAAGGCCACTCGCCCATCTAGACGCCCAGGTATGTGGCAGAGACATGAACGAGGCCACAGCTGATACACCTTGCTTACAAGAAAAGCTATTAGAACTACAAGCAGAGTATTTCGTTTCCACATTGCAGGTTGTGTGCAGATAAGTGGGGCCGCAGAGCTTAAAGCAGAATGAAAATTGTGCGTTTGGCAGAAGGTGCATGCGTTCGTGCGACGTCATGTGACTTAAATTACTCTAACACAGGAAGTTGTGTGAATTCAAGGAATTGTGCAACTCACTGTCGTTTTGGAAGATTTTGACTGCATTAATCCTAACAGGATTGAAATGCGTCGACAAAATTTATTTTTTTCTTGGATCAGATTTATACAAATCTGAACTGTTTTAGTTAGTGGAAAATGCAAGCAAAGGTACTTTTTGCTATAAATGAGGGCATATAACTAAAGACAGAGAATTTGACTTTTTGCTATAATGGGTTGATTTAGTGCAAGATTTCTGGAATCTCAACGGATAAAACAGGCCTTTTATTTCTACCACATAAAACCCGGCAAAATAAAAGAACCCCTGTAAATATACAGAATGCGGATATTTAAAAATCGATATTTAGATGACATGTTCGTTCCTTGGTAAAAAAGCCAGTGACCGTGACGAAAATAAGCGTTTATTTTGAATCTTCTTACTTTCTTGCAACAAGCAAAAAGATTTTGTGTACCAAAAATTTGCGCTGGTTCTAAAATGGCAATCCGGTGTTTAGCACCAAAGTTAGTGAAATTGAAGACAGCAAAATAACCATGAAAATTATAACCTGAAAAATATCTTGAAAACAATTTTGTCCCATGAAATTAGAACTTAAACTTTTAGGTACTTAATAAAGGTACGTTAACTATTAACTGACCATAAAATCATAAGTTAAGAAAATGATAAATAAGTTTACCTACTTAAAAAACAGCATTTTTCCTTCTAATTTACTCTGCAACTTTTCTTAGACCATTTTACAAAGATCCCTTCTTTTCTGCCTACCTACTTACCTGCACACTCTAAATTCTGTTTCCTTAAAAATAATTGATTTAAAATTTCGGGTTAGGGTTACTCAAATTTGTTGACTAGCGCTTGGCAATTTTTGACTTTTCTCGACCTCATCTATTTCAATTAAATTCACAAGGACAGCAGCAACGTTTTCACCAACGCTGATTGTAATCAAGTTTGAGTTTGTACATCTACCACCAAAGTTGATATTACACCATAAACAGAAAACTTATCAATTCGAAAATTCCTCTTATTTTCAGTAAGCACTTTCGTAGGCAACCAGTTTTGTCCCCTGGTATTTGTTCATCGAACCGTTACTATGCTAGTATTTAATTGCTTTGGTAAATTTTATTATGGTTGTTTGGTGAAATAAAATCCTGAGAGGTAGAACGAATAACTTTATTGGATGCAGAGACGGCTATAGTCTTGTCAGCGTAATAAGGGAAAACAGGGCCTGTATATAACCTCGGCCCGGTTGTCCCGTTCTTCCGTTGGTTTGTTCCTAGGAGCTAAAATTGAGGTGGAAAACGCGTGAGAGGATTGGCTGTCATTGCCCAACGCGTCATTCAATGCCCATGTAGGGCCACGAAGCCGGAACTCAGGCTCTTAGTCTCATGACGCCGCCATTATGCCCTACTGTTCCTCCTCGACCAATGACTGAGCATCATGATGGCTGCTATCTGCCATAACACTACACTATCCCCCCTAAGACCGAAGATGACCTCAGCTTCGCATTGACTACCACCGTGGTCTACTGGGGGTGGTTCACAATACATAAGCGGCTCGTCATCGTCTTCTTCCATAGGCGGCAAATAGGGTTTGAGTTTGTTAATGTGAACGCTGAACCCTTGACCTGGACTGAGCACCATGATGGCGGCTATCTGCCATGCTGCTACTGTAGAATACCCGAGCCCTAGTATGGAAAAATACCGGTACAACAGAACAGGCTTTATTGACCGATCACAAGCCAGAACCACAAGTCAGGCGCCTTCCATCCGAGTCCACCGCGCTGGCCACGCCGCTCATTATATACTGCTCCTCAGTCGTGTCCTTCTCTGG